CGGCGGCGGCAGCCTGGCCAGGGCTGGGGCTGGGACAGCTGCGGCCGCGCGGGGCATGGAGCTGGCAAGCCCGCGCTGAGGCAGGACGCGCCTGCTAGCAGCGAGCGAGTGGCTCTCCTCATCCGGCGTTTGGGCTCCCCGGCCCGGGCTGCGCAAACTTTTCTTTCTCTTTTGCCCTCTGCAGAGGTAAAGTTCCAAATGCGGACTCTCCGCCGGGGACGCGATCTGGGGGAGCAGGGAGGGACCCCAGGCTGCGGGAGAAAGGGGCGCGGGCCATGCAGGGTTGGGGGGCTCCACACTCTGCTGCGTCCAAGACTTGGGGTGCTAGGCGGGCTGGCTGCGGACGGGCAGACGGGCGCGGGCATGTCCCTCGGGCGGCGTGGAGGCGGTGGTGGCTTGGAAGCCGAGCGTTCGCCCGCGGCCCCTGCTTGCAGCTCGGTCGGGAAGAAGCGCCGGCAGTGCGGGTTTGGGGGCCCCAGGATTCGCCTGCCCCCGGGACTTTGGGGAGCAAGGCAGGCATCGGCCGCGGGGTTGGTGCCGAGGATGCCGGCCGTTCGCCGGCGTTCCTCCTCTCCGCTCCGCCGTGGGGTGGAGGGCGCGGGGCGGGCTGGCTGAGCGCAGCTCCCCTCTCTCCGCAGGCGCCTTCTGCGGTGGCGGACCGACTCCTCGGCGCGGCGGGGCCGGGGCAAGCTGGACGCAGCATGATGCGTGCAGTGTGGGAGGCGCTGGCGGCGCTGGCAGCAGTGGCGTGCCTGGTGGGCGCGGTGCGCGGCGGGCCCGGGCTCAGCATGTTCGCGGGCCAGGCGGCGCAGCCCGACCCGTGCTCCGACGAGAACAGCCACCCGCGCCGCTGCATCCCTGACTTTGTCAACGCGGCCTTCGGCAAGGATGTGCGCGTGTCCAGCACCTGCGGCCGGCCGCCGGCGCGCTACTGCGTGGTGAGCGAGCGCGGCGAGGAGCGGTTGCGCTCCTGCCATCTCTGCAACGCGTCGGACCCCAAGAAGGCGCACCCGCCAGCCTTCCTCACGGATCTCAACAACCCGCACAACCTGACGTGCTGGCAGTCCGAGAACTATCTGCAGTTCCCGCACAACGTCACGCTCACGCTGTCGCTCGGCAAGAAGTTCGAGGTGACCTACGTGAGCCTGCAGTTCTGCTCGCCACGGCCCGAGTCCATGGCCATCTACAAGTCCATGGACTACGGGCGCACGTGGGTGCCCTTCCAGTTCTACTCCACGCAGTGCCGCAAGATGTACAACCGGCCGCACCGCGCGCCCATCACCAAGCAGAATGAGCAGGAGGCCGTGTGCACGGACTCTCACACTGACATGCGCCCGCTCTCCGGCGGCCTTATCGCCTTCAGCACGCTGGACGGGCGGCCCTCCGCTCACGACTTCGACAACTCGCCAGTGCTGCAGGACTGGGTCACGGCCACCGACATTCGCGTGGCCTTCAGCCGCCTGCACACGTTCGGCGACGAGAACGAGGACGACTCGGAGCTGGCGCGCGACTCGTACTTCTACGCAGTGTCAGACCTGCAGGTGGGCGGCCGCTGCAAGTGCAACGGCCATGCGGCCCGCTGCGTGCGCGACCGAGACGACAGCCTGGTGTGCGACTGCAGGCACAACACAGCGGGTCCTGAGTGTGACCGCTGCAAGCCCTTCCACTACGACCGGCCCTGGCAGCGCGCCACCGCCCGCGAGGCCAACGAGTGCGTGGGTGAGTGGAGCGCCGCGGAGACGCGGGCGGCGGGCGGCGGGCGGGGTCGAGGGCCGCCCCTCCTGGGCCTCACAGCTGCGGGTTCTCCGCAGCGCGGGCGGCGGCCGCGCCAGAGGATCTCTCGCTGGGGGAATGCCGCGGGGATGATGGGAGGCGCGTTCCAGGGTGGCTTGGGCCGAAGAGGGCAGAGAGCAGGTCCACTCGCTCGCGTGGCGCTGTCAGTGGACGCTCGAGTTTGCGCCCAGTGCGCTCTGTGAAGCCAAGAAGCACAAGAAATGTTGTGGGGAGAGGGCTTTTCCGAAAATTTGCTGACTGGTCTCCCTAACCCCAGATCTGAATGCAAACACTCATTGCTTTCCCCTCTGGCGGGACCCTGGGATTCACCTCTGCCCACTCCTTTCCTTTCCTAGTGTTGCAGCTGGGCGCGCTGTTGGGGATCCCAGCCCGGTTTCGGGGAAGTTCCAGCCCGACAACCACAAATCCCTTGGGAGATGGCAAAGGGATTTGCAGTTTGGGGCCAGTTCGGTGCCCAACGAATATCATTCCTGCGCCCTCCATTTGTCTTTAACGGTTTGAAAAAAAATTTCCTTTGGACAGAGCGTTTGTGTTAGCTAAAGAATGATGTGATTTAAATTAATTACTATCTACAGATTACAAAGGAGAGTTCAGTAATTATTTTAAACTAATTCAATCGTGGACCAAAAAAGATGTATACCAGATTTTTTGTTAGTGTCAGGGTTTGGTGATATTAAACAGTTTTGTATTAACTAAGAGTCTAGATTCTCGCTTTTTAATGGGGTTTCAGTTCCTGAAAGAGAAATTTGACAAAACGGCCATTGGCGAATACGTTGGGTTAGAAATGAGGCTTAAAAAAGGGATACGTTCTTTTTCTAATTTGCCGCGGTAGAAACTTTAAGGCATCAGTTTCTGGGGGAGGTGTGGAGAAGCAGGCGGAAGATGGTAAGACAATACTTTACTTTTCCAGTGTGAGATGTAAATTTCCAAATCCTTCGGTTTGTTTTAAAGAAAATTATTTAGTTCGCAAAGTGCCATTTGGTGTGCATCCTTTGTGAACATATAGATTTTTTCCCCTCCCCTCCCCCACCCTCAAACAGCCAGTGTGAGTCTCTTCAATGGCTTCGCCCTCTGAGGCACATTGCAAAGTTTGCTGGTCCCCACGAACACACGTTTTGAGGTCTGGTTCTGATTAATTGTGTCATGTTGTTGTCGAATAGTTTGTGCCTCATGACTGCGGATACAGACTTTTGAGCAAGTGAATGGAAAACATGTCTTGGAGAGCCGGGTGGGCACTGAGGCCCAGTTAGGCGTCCTGGTCTACAGAGGGCTGTGCCTACTGTTGCATGTCAGGGCCTCCATTTTTACACTCAACGTGCCCTGCTTTTGCAGACCTAATTGTTCTTCCCCCTCCTTTAAGGGACAGAACTGGTTGCCAGTTTGAAGAGCCTTTTCAGGATTGCGCAGTGAGGTAGTAGATACACCTCGGTTTAGTGTTCTTTGAGAATAAAATTCCTTTGATCTGCTCAATTCCTTCAGAAATGTTGGGTTTTCCCATCTCCTCTTTATTTTCTCTTCCTATTTTTTCTTCCTTTTGTGCCTAAAAACCCTGTATTGACATTCTGAAGGCCTCCTAGGGTTTTGCTATCAGTTTTAGTTTGTATGTGCATATGAAAGGTACCTTCGAATTGTCACCAACAGAGTCACATTGGACAAATGCAAGTGAATACATTGAGGCAAATAAACTGGATGTTGTGGTAACATTTTGCTGGTGTGAAGATTCCCTTTAGCATTAGTATTTTTCAGAGTCATCAGCCACCCTTCTCTCTCCCTGTCACTTTGCATATGGAGACATAACCCCCATTTGCTATAACAATGGTCATGCACTTGAAATAACCTCTGTAATTTAGGATTTTGTATTTTGACCGAAGCATTAACTAAGTGCACAAATTGGATTGACTGTTTTTTTTTTAAAGCCAAGTTGAGCAATCAACATATTAACTAATGTAATTAGTAAGCCTTTTTGCTCAAAAAGTTTAATTAGGCCTAATAAGCACGTAATCTACATGACAAATAATCGGCTATTTTCTGGTTTTTACTGAAGTTATTTTAATTCTCAGTAGTTGAAGTATCTTTAAGTCTTGCCAATTATTCAGTCATCTTATAAAAAAGCAAAGCCAATTCAACTATGTTAAAGTTATTTATAGTTTCCTCTTTGAATAGATGTTCTGATACCTTGTAGATACAGCCAGGAAAGTCAGGTTGAAGTTCCCATAAAGTCTTAATTGAAGTCTTAGTGATTTTTCCATCATTTTGCAAAAGAGAAAGCCAGCAAAGACAATTTAAAAGTGATTTACAATTAAAGGTCGAGCTTTTTATGAAAAGGCCCTACAGTGGAGATATGTGAGTGAATTAGTATTTGACAGGTGTTCCGAGACACTACAGGGCACCGTGCTAAGAAAAAGCATTAATAAATCCTTCAAACACTAACTTTTGTACTATCAGCGGCTCAGATTTTTTCCCCTGACATAATCCCATCTTGTGAATTTCACACTGTTGACATACAAAGTCAGGCTACCCAGATTATTTACAACTAAGGCAAAGTAAAGAAATATATATTTTTTTATTCCAAAACCCAGTCCTGATAAAATGAGACTTGATTTATAATAGACTAACATGGCATTCTTCCTCAGGTTAACCATCCCCCACAACTCTAAAATTTTAAAAAAACTTTGATATTATTATTTGACTAAATGGTTCTTCTACATAGGGCCAGGCTACTTTCAGATTACTAAGAAATGTGTATATGCTATAGGTTTTCTTTGGTCAAGCTTTCTTTTCTGTGTTGTTTTAAGGTTGAGTTCTCTATGGAATAAATGTGAACTTTTGTAAAGCCCAATTTTATTTTAAATGCAATTTTGGGTTTCTTCCGGGGGAAAAAAAAAACCCTCAAAACAATATGAAAGACAAGACTATGTATAACGTTACAGCCTCGACAGCTCTCAGTGGAATAACTAAATACTTTCTTCCGCCCATATGTATCAGCAGTATTCACGTGCTTTTATACACATGTGCATTTACATTCATGGTGTAAAGAAGCATCCATGCATGGTGGGGTAGGGGGTGTACATTCAAGGAAAAATGCATGAACAGTTTTAAACCACCTGGGTTGCTAGGTCCTTTTTTTCCCCTTCCTCCTACTTTTTTTTTTTTTCAAAAGAGCATCTGAAGACCATATTGTGTTTCATAAATTATTGACATCAGTTTTAATCAGTGTCCCCCTGACGTCGGAGCTGTGTTAGTATTTAGTGCCTGACGAAGCATGCTGTTTAATCTTACTGTGGGGATGTCAGCATGAACCCCTGCCTAGTTTGTGACAGGGTGAGCTTATGAAAACTCGTTTTGCGACTCACACTATGGCTTTGCACTGCCCAGCTGAAACCCAAAACCCACACAAAAGACGTCTCTGCAAGATGAGCACCGTGCTGGGCTGGCCTCCTGTGGTCATGGGTACCTGCAACATAATGCTCGTAATTGTTTAAACATGGCTTTGGGAGTGGGTTCCTCATGCTTTAAACGGCTTTGGTGTTCTGACCTACCATCATCCTCAGCAAGAGAGGGAGGTTGTATTGGTGGTATTGCCATCAGAAATCCAATGCCCCACTAAAGACTCTTGCAGAATCAGAAGGCTAACATTATTGTGGCCTAGTCCAGAGCCTGGCACATAGCTGTAGATAATGTTTTTATAGTCATAGTAATTATTATAATTATTGTCATTATAATGATTAACTCTTGAGGGCTTAGTTTTTGCCAGGCACTCACATTAATTTAGTCATTTAATTATTGTGACTGTGCTGATAATAGGCACTATTATTTTTATTTTACAGATGAAGAAACCATAGCCTAGATATATCAAATGGTTTACCCAAAGCCTGCTAGCTATTAGTACTACATATAGCTAGTAAGTGGTGGAGCTGGGACTCCAGCCTGATGTTTATGCTTTGTTTTATTGTATCCTCTGTTCTGCTTTCTCATAGAATAGATGGATGGATGGATGAATGATGGCAGTTACATATCCATGTATAGGAGGAAGGTTGGAACAACCTATTCTGTTAGAACTTCAGGTGGTTCCCATGTTATGTAATTCTATGTTACATTATATTATTTTCATACATGCTTAAGTATGAAATTATATATAAGAACTTGTCCCTTATTTTAGCCATTAGGCCTAGTGGGAGCTGGAAGTTAGGAATATAAGTGAAGAGGGTCTAAATACTTTCTCGTGGGTTCTCAACACCTACAGATGTTGCTGATGGCCAAGTATTTCTTGATTCCAGGGCCTGTGATCTCTCAAAGGGGGTAGAACAGAGCTCATAATTAGAAAATCTTCTTTAATAAAGCCTTTCTTTTCTTTCTAGTGTTCAGAATCCTGTTGCTTGTCTGGAACATATTGAAAAAAATTTAGGCAGTAGCTAAGAAGTGTTGTTAAAGAGAGGAGTTTAATGGCGTATCCTGGTCACTGGTGTGGTGCTAGTAGGTGCAGCTTATGTATGTCAGCAGCACAGGGCTGTCATTTATCTTTGTTGGCCCCATGGCAGCTGGAGTGAGGGTCTTGCTAGGGTCCTCATTAGCACCTGGTGGGCAGGAAGGCTGTTCCCCACTCTTTCAAGAGAAGAGAGAGCGTTGTGTCAGGATAAACAAGAAGAGAGAGAGTTGTGTCAGGATAAACCTTGTGGGGTGGGTCTCTGCATTTCTAGGCTTTGCCAAGCTCTTCTTTGGCCATACCCAGACTTCTCTCTGACCTCCTCCTCCTGCAGAAAAATGAGATCCTCGGAAAAGTATTTGAGACTTTATGTCCAGAGAAAATATTGGAAAGGCAGTGGGTTGAAATTCAAATGTTCCCTGGAAGGAATCCCCTCATTTTCTGCTCACAGCTGGTATCGATATTTCCTTCTTGAGATGAGTTGTGCTTTTCATTAAGTAAA